ACACACAGCTTGAACGAAGAAAACGGAAGTGTAACAACCACAGCAGAAACCGGTTGGATCGCAGAACTATTCATGCTGTCTCCAGCTTTCCGGACATAAGCAAACACATCCACATGCACATGACACGGACTCGTCTCTCCACACACCCCCTCAACTCGCATGCAGCACTTGCTCTCGGCACTGCGTCAGAGATGGACGAGGCAGGGCCTTCGTCAGCATGTCTGCAAGCAGCTTTGTGCCGGGTTCATACACTGCCTTGACGACGCCTTCGCCAATGAGCTCGCGCAGAAGGTGATAACGCTGTAGAAACACGACAGGTGTGTGTGTGTGTGTGTTTACTGTAGGCAAACGCAACAAACAAGAACACAAGGAGAATGAACAAGCACAACAAGCTGCTGCCTAATCAACTCGGGCAGCACGCTCAAACAAACACTAGACAAGTGCACACACAGTCAATGACGCTGCCAAGGCGACATGGGCAGAGTGTGCACGAACACAAACAATCTAAACAATGAGCAGCATGCATACATGCGCGCAGAGCAATGCTAGGCATGGCATGAATGCTTGCAGGCAAGCATACACAACAGACAACACTTCACAACACTGCATGGCACGCACACATAGCATTTGCCAAGCATGACGGGCATGCACATACACACAAACACATGGCACACAACTCACGTGTGTAGGGGAAGGAGGAGAGGAGAGGCAGTTGGCACACATGCATGCCAGCAGAGAGGAAGGAATGTTTGCAAACGGAAAAACCACAAAGCAGGTGTTGTTGGCAAACAAGACAAAACCACATGAGAAGGCAAATTAGGAAGGACTCAACACAAAACAGAAACGCACTGACTCTCAACACTCCCCCTCAACTGCCTTCCTCTGCTTCGTCTCAGACGTCGAGGTTCCCACCAGTCGTGGCAGGTGCTGCTCGAAGGTCTGCTTGTCCAGTGCCTTGGTCAGCGCGTCGGCAACCATCTGCGTGCCGGGACAGTGCTGCAGCACAATGGTTCCGTCGGCGATGAGCTCCCGCACGAAGTGGTGGCGTACCCGGATGTGCTTCGTGCGCGGCTTGGTGACGTGGTCGTTGCCGATGGCGATGGCCGCCTGGTTATCTGTCAGCATCTTGGTGGCTCCAGCCTCGGGCTCGCCGAGGTCCATGAGCAGCTGCCGCAGGAAGACGACATCCTGCGCTGCTGCGGAGATGGCCATGTACTCGGCCTCGGCGGTGCTCAGCGCAACCGTGGGTTGCAGCCGGCTGCTCCAAGACACAAGACAGCCGTTGATGTAGCAGGTGAAGCCCGTCGTGGAGCGGCCCGTCAGCTGGTCTGTGCCGAAGCTGGCGTCGCTGTAGCACACCAGGTCCAGCGGTTGGTCCTTGCGCGTGCCGCTGCGTCGCTTGAAGAGGAGGCCGTGCTCGCTCGTCGCCTTCAGGTACCGCACGACGTGCTTGGCTGCCTGCCAGTGGACCGTCGTGTAACGGTCCATGTAACGGCAGAGCAGTCCGCACGCGAAGCTGACGTCTGGTCTCGTGCGGTTGGCCAGGTACAGGAGCGAGCCGACGAGGTTGCGGAAAGGCAGGCGTCGGTCGGGCTGCTCGCTGATGCTGGAGGCGTCGATGCCAACGCGCATGGGCGTGGACACGCTGGCTGCCGCTGCCAGGTTGTAGTCGTTGACGATGTCGTTGATGGCCTGAGTCTGCGCAATGTGCAACACCCCGTCAGCTGGTGACGTCAGGTGAAGGCCCAGGTACCAGGTGAGCGGGCCCAGGTCCTCTGCCTCGAAGCTCTCCTTGATCTGCTGCTTGCAGGCACGGATGTGGCGCTCGCTGCTGCCGCTGATGATGAGGTCGTCGACGTACGTGATGATCCATGTGCGCTGTCCGTCGTCGTGGAGCTTGGTGAAGAGGCAGGCGTCGACGTTGCTCTGCGCCCATCCGTTGGTCTTGAGGAAGGTGTGGAGGTTCTTGGCCCATGCATTGCCCGCTTGCTTGAGACCGTATGGCGGCTTGAGCAACCGGCACACCTTGGCCGCGTATCGTTGAGCGGCGTCGCCGATGTCTGTGAAGTGCGGCGGCTGCTCCCTGTACCGCTCCTCCTTGAGATCAGCCTGCAGGTAATCCGACTTGAAGTCGAGCTGGTGCAGCTGGTGCTGTGCTGTCGTTGCAGGAGACTACAGTGAGGATGGTCTTGGCTGCTGGTGTTGGGGCGTAGGTCTGGTGGAAGTCGATGCCCGGTCGTTGGCTGAAGCCCTTGGCGACCCAGCGTGCCTTGAAGCGCGTCGGCGCGCCCTCAGCATCACGCTTCACCTTGAAGACGAAGCGTGACTTGAGAGGCGTGTGCTGCCGTGGCACGACGCTGCGTGGGATGAGCTTGATGACGCCGTTGCGCTCCATGGCCCCCGATCTCCTCCAAGCACGCCTGAGTCCACTGCTTGCGTTGCTGGCTCTTGAGTGCCTGCTTGATGCTTGCAGGCTCCGTGAGGCTGGTGTCGTCGCTGCTGCTTGCTGTGAACGCGCCTGCCTCGGTGTCACTTGCATCTGTTGTGTCTGGATCGTAGTTGGCGTCGTTGGTGTCGCTGCTGCTGTCGGCGTCAAAGTCCGTGAGCAGGAAGTCTGTCTCGACATCCTCGTCCTGGTCCTCGTCGATGTGAACCGTTGGTGGCTCACCGTCAGTGGTGCTGTTGCTGCTGTCACGTACACTGGGAAGCTGGAGCATGGACGATGTCGTGGATGTCTGCACTTGCTCCTCCCACTCATCCACGACATCATCGGCCTTGGAGAAGGAAAGGAAGCGGACGTGGATTGTGACGGAACTGTGGTCGAGGTGTGTCGGTGGCTTGTTCTGTGTACTGATGTGAGGTAAACCAGGGAACAAAAGAACTGAACAAGGCACAGACAATCACGTGAGATAAGCGACAACAGGGTGCAGGGCAACACACACGTGCTAGCAGGCAACAAGAGGGGTGCTTGTGGTTAAGCAAGGGGGAAAACAAGAGACAAGGGCAACAGACGTAACACAGCATGCAGGCATGTGTCGTGCCGTCATCTTAGTTGATGACGGTACCGTGCCAAGGGCTCGGGATCGCCGCCGAGAGGCAAGCAGTTCCGAGGCACTGGGCACGGCGTGACACGACACAGGCAAACGCTACTATACGACACTCACGAGTTAAACATGACGTCAATCAGGCTAAACATGACATCAAACATTAGGAGAACAAAGAACATGCAAGGCAGTACGGTGCCGCGAAGGGCAAGGAAGGGAAAACAATGGGACACAGCGGGGCAAGGTGCAGGGAACGGGGAGACCGAGAGAGAGAGAGAGAGAGAGAGAGAGAGAGAGAGAGAGAGAGAGAGAGAGAGAGAGAGAGCGGCAGGGGGAGGCAGGCGAGCGACGTTACACCTTCCCCCTCTCTAAGACGGCTTGCCCTCAAGCCGATGCGTTGCGCGAGGCCTGATGCCACTCCATGATCAGTGAACGCACGTCGCGTGTGAGCTGGTCCTCGTTGATCCAAGTGCTGTCGTTGATGTCGTAGCCGGCCCACTTGATCAGGTACTGCCTCTTGCCGCGTCGGACTCGCTCGTCGAGGATGCGTTCCACCTCGTATTCGTCCGATTCGCCGTCCGGCAGGGGTGGTGGTTCGTCATTGGGGCGCGTGTTGAAGTCTGACGGGCTGTTGACACACGGCTTGGTCTTGGTGACGTTGACGACCGGGTGCGCCCGCACGTGGCTGGGGAACCGGAGTCGCACGGTCGTGCGCGACGGCATGTCGATGACAGTGAAGGGGCCTTGCCAGCGGGGCTTCAGCTTGTCCTTGGGTCGTCGCTGGTTGGCCTGGTCGACGAAGAGGTCAGCGGTGACCCATGCCTGATCGCCGGGACTATATTTGATGTCGTCGCTGCGGCGCTGGTCGGCGTACCTCTTCTGCTTGTCCTGTGCCTGGGCGAGGGCGTCTCTTGCGGCGGTGATGATGCTCTTGAGGCGCACCACGAAGTCCTCGGCTGCAGGTGTGTCCGTGCGGCGTATGGCCTGGCGGGTGACGAGTGTAGCTGGGATAATCGGGTGTCGGCCCGTCTCTAGGAAGAACGGAGACTGGCCCGTGGAGTCGCTCTTGCTGTTGTTAAGGGCGAACTCTACCACGGGGAGGAGTGAGTCCCAGTTGTCCATGCGGTAGTTGACGTAGTGGCGGAGGGTCTGCTCCATGGTGCGGTTCGTCCTTTCTGTTTGGCCGTCGGTCTGCGGGTGCTGCGATGTGGAGAATTGAAGTCGGGACCCCAGCAAGCGGAAGGTCTCCTTCCAGAAGGCGCCGGTGAAACGGGGATCTCGATCAGACACAACTCTGGCAGGAAGTCCATGGTGTCGGAACACGTGGAAGATGAACAGCTTAGCCACGTCTCGGCCCGTGCACTTGCTAGTAGTCGCCGCCAGGTGACACCGTTTAGTCAGCCTGTCGACGAAGACCACGATGGCGTCCTGTCCTGTCCTGGTCCTGGGTAGTCCGGTGACGAGGTCGAGGCTGATATCGGTCCAGGGTTCTCGGGGAACGGGTAGGGGCTGCAGGGGACCAGGGGCAGCGCCCTGTCTCGGCTTGTGGCGCTGGCAGGATTTGCAGCTCCGCACATAGCGCTCCACGTCCTGCCGCATCCGGGGCCAGTAGAAGTGGCGCGCTAGCGCCTCGTGGGTACGGTGAATTCCTTGGTGGCCTGCTGTCGGAGTGTCGTGGAACTCAGCCAGAAGCGGCACGCGTGCCGTCTCTGGTATGCACCAGCGCAGAGGTATGTCCTCCGGGTGCTCCGGGTGCTCCTGGTAGATCAGCAGGTCTTCGTCATTGAGCCCGAAACGGCTGAGCTTCGCCGCCACGGCAGGCGGTGGTGTCTGGTCGGGGTTCTTCAGCGCCTTGTAGATCGGGCCGAATTCCTCGTCCTCCGCGATGTCGTTGCTGATGCGTTTGACAAGGTCCGCCGGCGTCGCGGTAGAGATGGCGGCGCATGTGATCTCCTGTGCGTCTGAGTCAGGGATTCTGCTAACGGCGTCGGCAGCTACGTTGGTCTTGCCCTTGATGTAACGGATGTCGAGGTCGTAGTCGTTCAGGAGCTCTATCCATCGCGCCCATCTGCCGTTCAATGTCTTCTGGGTGGTGATGTTCGTCAGTGAGCGGTGGTCGGTGAGGATCGTGGTCCGTTTGTCGAGGAGGTACACGCGCCACTTGGTCAGCGCGTAGATCAAGGCGAGGGCCTCCTTGTCCCGCACTGGGTAGTTGAGCTCCGCGGGCTGGAGTTTCCGGGACTCGTACGCGACTGGCTGCCCATCTTGGAGTAGGACGGCGCCTATCGCTCGGTCTGATGCGTCGGTTGCCACCTCAAATGGCTGGCGCTGGTCAGGGAATGCGAAGTGCAGGTGCTTGTGTCATACGACGCTTCAGCTCCCGGAAGGCCTCCTTCCTGCGGACGGGCCCCACTTGAACCCGTTCTTCTTGAGGGCGTCGTTGAGCGGGGCGCAAGAATCTTGGCGTAGTTGGCGATGAAGCGG